CACTGCCACAGCGTGCTACGATGATTTTTGGAACGGTGTTGGTAGTACTGCCAGCGCTGACAAACAATTTTGGAACACAGCCTATGTAAGCATTGTAAGTTGTTGTGGATTTTTCTCGATTTTTCTCGTCGTCGGTCGTCGTCGGTCGTCGTCAGTCGGCGTCAGTCGGCGTCAGTCGGCGTCAGTCGGCGTCGGTCGGCGTCGATCAGCGTCGGTCAGCGTCGTCGGCGTCATCGTCATCAGTCGTCAATCGTCATCGGTCGGTGTCGTCGATCGGCGTTGGTCGACGTCGGTTGTCGTTGGTCGTCGTCGATCAGCGTCGTCGGCTTCGATCAGCGTCGTCGTCGTCGGTCGTCGGTCGGTGTCGTCGATCGGCGTCGGTCGTCGTCGACTTTGGTCGACGTCATCGTCGTCATTCGGCGTCGTCGTCATCGATCGGCGTCGTCGTCATTGATCGGCGTCGTCGGCTTCGGTCGGCGTCATCAGCGTTAGTCGGCGTCGATGACGGTCGTCGTCGTCGACAGCACTGAATGACGTCGAACGAGTTCGGACGACGACGATTATGTTAATATAATTAAATGTTTTATTGCTGACGCATTTAATTTCACACTAGAGGCGAAAACAGAATTCTTTTCAGTATATTTATATTTTCAATTCTCAGTACAAAACCTTAATCATTTACTTTCTGTATCAGGCGCGAAACAAATTGTACAGCGTTTGCTTTTGGTTTTGTTCCTGGGTCGGAACTTTTCTCGAGTTTTGTTTTTCGTGCCATTCCTGGTACAAAACCTTAAACATTTACTTTCGTTTTGCATCGGGCGCGAAACAAATTGTACAGCGTTTGCTTTTGATTTTGTTCCTGGATCAAAACTTTTCTCGAGTTTTGTTTTTCGTGCCATCCCTGGTTAAATGATAAAAGCACAATCCTCTTCCTGCAGATTGCAAAAAGAACATTTTATGTAAGATTGATTGTAGTGATTGTGATGCGTCTTATGTTGGACAAATATGTAGACAATTAAAAACAAGGATCTCAGAGCACAAAAATGACATCAATAGAAACAATTCTAATCCATCGGATGTCACGAATCATAGGACACTTCACAATCTTGATTTTAATTGGGATAAAGTTCAAATATTAGGTACAGAACGTAATTACAATAAAAGATTGATATCAGAAATGATAAACATCAAGCGACAAAAGAATGGTATTAATTTAAACAAAGACATCGAGTTACTTAATTCTTCATATTTTTGTTATTTGACCGACCACTGATAGATAGAAATAAGATATTGTCATTACGATGAGTGACACCGCAGCATGAACATCACCACTGTGTTACATTTTATTATATCCATTTAAGTTATTTCGTATTTTGCGACAATTATGGTGTGCAGTAATAATTTGTATATGACAGACGCCCGAAGTGAATCTCCACAACATTTCCTGTAAGTTACATAATGAGTTTAGACTCTAATATTCTTTATATTTAAGATCAAACATCGGTGACCATCCAGCTTATTAACTGGTTATGGGAAATTTGATATCGGAGTGAAACCACGGAGTTTTATGAATTTTATTTGATACATTCGCTGATGAAGACTAGAAGTTAGTCGAAACGTTCGCAAAGAGATTATTTATTGAAGACTGTTTTCGATTAATCGAATTAAAATTGCGCAATCATTACAAAAAGCCCGTTTTGTAATTTTTTTATTGTGATATAATAATTTCATTTAAGAAGAATTTAAATCATTTGGATTGGAATAGAAAGATCCTTCAATAAGATATACATACATATACTTAGGTTTCATTGTACAAAAATTAAAGATAGTACCATTTGGATTAAGTAAATAATAATAAAGATAGTATCACTTGGGTTTAACTTTTTATTTTTATAATAGAATTTAACTTAGCGCCATAGTTGTTAATATCAATTCTTTTATACAAATGATACATATCATAAGATTAATATTTATTATTTATTTATTTTGACATGGTATAAAGAAATGGGATTTAACTTTGCGTCAATTCTTGATATCAAATCTTTTATAGGAATGATATCATTAAAGTTAATATTATTTATATAATTTCGTATCCGAATTACATGGAATTTAACTTGGCACCAGTTTTGTTGATATCAAATCTTTTATACGAATGATACATATCATATTATAAGAATATCCTTGAAAAAAATTAAAACTACTATTAATTGGGTTGGATACTTAGTATGATATAGAAAGGGCCGATTTCATTAACTCGATTATGCCGAATCGGTGATTAATTGTCAATCATAAGTGGTCAATTCTACTAAATAGCAAACACAATTAGTTCCACGGCCAATTAAGTAATTGGCGTTGGTGAAACCGGCCCAAATGATTCTTCACGAAAAGCACGCATGCTTAGCGCTTTTTTTACCTTTTTTTAAAAAGGTAAGTTTGTATAAATAACATACAATATATTCAGTAAGCCGGTTGCCTATACCATAAACCAAGGAATCAGGCGAAAACACTCACGGAGGATATTCAATTCTTTGTCGGTCTTCTGGTAGATCATCGGGATTGTCTATATGGATAGTGTGGTCGTTGTGCAATATCTCATCACGATATCTCATCGCGATATCTTTCGTTAATATGTATTATAAAATGCGTGATATCATAATAAATTTACATTTTTAAGAAAAGGTAAACAAGGGCGCTAAGTGTGCATGCTCCTCTAAGAAAAAAAACGTTACATAAATTATTATATGCGCTTGTATGGGTCCTTGAAGGAAAAATGACTTAAAATGACTTAAAATTCTTACGTTAAAGATACAAATCATCGGAATCGTCTATATGAATAGTACGGTCGTCGTGCGCGGTATCTCATCACGATATCTCATCGCGATATCTCTCGTTAATATGTATATAAAATGCGTGATATCATAACAAATTTACATTTTTAAAAAAAAGTAAAAAAAGGCGCCAAGTATGCATGCTACTCTCAGAAAAAAAATTATATAAAGTACAAGGAGCATTCAGCCACGCGCAGAATGTTTTTTGCAAATGTCATATATTGAAAATTTTTACGTTAAAGATACAAATTCATAGACGTTTCGACCTATATCAGGTCATCTTCAATATACAATAT